TGGACAGACTCGTGTGTGTGGCGTTAATTCTGACGGCTAACGAAAATTCAGGCAAGATTAAATGGAAACAAAAGACCTTGATAAGGCCTTCTGGAGATGTCTTTAGCAAAAGAGGAGTAGATCAAGTCCTTGACTTCAAGAAAAGTATCACTGACACTGTATTCAAAGCTGAGAGGTTTTTAGTGGTACAAAAAGTGCATCAAAAGCACTTCTGGTAATGATACTAATTAGTTATTTGCAGTCAAATGGCCATTTCGCAGGACACAGACACATTTCTGCCTAAAGAGTTTGCCTGATCTTAATTACATTCACGAAAACATTATTGCCTTGAGTTACAAATAAAAATGATCTAAAGCCAAGGTCTTCATGGTGGGCAGTGAGTGATACAGCTTTCGTTTCATTCTGGCTCAGACATAAATATGGCTGCCAGCCAGTACATTTCAGCTGAAAGCAACAATATAAGCTACTCGGAGATTATTTGATTGTTAGTGCTATCCACAAAGAGCAGAAGCTTCTGATGCATATGTAAAATAAAAACGGCTGCTTTAACAGGAACAGACCGAAAAATAAAATGTCCAAAATGGGATTTTTGCAGTGATGCCATAGAAGAACCATTTTGGGTTATTTTACTGAAAAGTTATTTTTTTCTTTAGTTTAAAGAACATTTTAATGAACTTTTTTTAAAGAATCTTTTTTTCCACTATAAAGCACCATGGAAATTATATTAAATGTTCTTCATGCCATACAAGGCAATAAAGAACCTTTCATTTTTATGTGAAAAAAAAATACTGTCTTGTGCATTTGATTGAATAATATAAACAAAACAGTAAGAGACTCCAGCCTGTAGCTGTTTGAGTTAATTATAGCAAAATTATTAGTATCAGCCAAAGATCATGAACAATCTGATACCCGTATGTCTCATCTGGGTGAGGAGGTTAATTAGAGAAGAAAAGTCTATAATTTTTTCTGTAGTGATGCATGATCGACAAATAAACAAAAGCAGAAGTCTAAAAATGACGAAACTTTTGTGATATTTATTGGCTAGATAGGTCTGAAAAGGATGTAAATCTTATTAGATCCTTAGATTTTTCCTTGTTAGATCTTATTGTATCCACATGTAGTAGTATACTTATTTTAATAATCAAAATACAAAACACAATGGTCAACTGCAAGTCAATTCAACATGCTTTTGAAAGGATGTATAATCCAGCAGCTGTCTTCATGGTGGCCTTCTGAAAAATTACATAAATGGAAAGAAAATGTGATCCGAAGACACTGGATATGGCACCTAACAATGAAAAAAAAATCACTGATGTCCCTGTCATTGTGAGAAGCCTCTTTTTAAAGCTCTGAATCTAACGTGGACACATGCACCCGCCGAAACACAAACACAGTTGCTTAGTGTGAAGAGATCTTAGCTAGAAAAGAAAGCATTAGGTCTAAAGAAATGATGACACGCACATACCCACACGCTTGCACATACGCACGCAAAGCAGCTGAAATGCTGCTCCTGCCATTCATCTAGAAGGACTCCTGCTGAGCTGTAAGAACCGGCTACTGTGGCTGAGGGAAACTTTTGCATCGAATCTAACAACCTAAATTTACAAGCCCATTGAGTCTTCTGCTCCTGAAAATGGCTAAGAGCACACGCTGCTGTGGTCTTTGAGAACAAATTGCTGCAACCATATAAACAATTCATTAAAGAAATCAATGTATAACCGGTATCCTATAGTCACGCCATATGTATAGACATATACAGACACAAGTATAAACATGCATCCAAGGTCTTCAGTCTGTGAGGTCGAGAGGTTGCTCAAAGCAACATATCACAAAATAGATTTGCTCCTTCTCTTTCTTTCTCTCTCCTTACCGAGGGAACTAATGCATGCTATTGAACTGAATGACATTACATAAACCGTCCTTCAGGTTGTGCTTTATCCTCCATTACCTCTCAGAGGCATTTCCAAATTCAGTCAGGCTGGTGAAGATGATCAATGAAACCAGAGGTTAATGAGAGGTCAGGATGAGGGTCGTACTTATATTCAGACAGCAAACAACAGGATAAGCTCCTGAATGATTATATTTAAGTGAACTCTAACATTATCATAATTTATCTTTTCTTGATATTATTAGCATACTTAAACTTAAAGAGAAATTATACAAAGGATTAAGGCTGTACTGTTAATGTGCGTGCATGTGTCTTGTTTTCTTGTTCGGCTCATCTCTGAGCTGCCTGTTATCCAGTGATTATCATACAGTAAGGATTGCAGGTATTCTTGTTAAGAGCATAACACAAGAGTAAGATGACTTCTTTAAGCCTAAAAGCAAACAATCATTGTTCTGAGATGAGTGATGGATCTTCGCAGTATTTACATGTGCAAGTAAAGTTGTCATATTATGATCTGAGACATTACATTGTTGGATTTTAAGTCCTAAGCACTTCATCTGAGCATTTGTTTTGAGAAAATAAAACTGACTATAAGTTTAGGTTGGGATGAGACTATTTTTGTATTTATGCATTTGAAATATGATGATTTGGGTGGAGCATTGCATACAGGAAAACAGCATATCAAAAAAATTTCAATGATAATATAATTGCACAAATGTTAACAAATCAAGAATCATGCTTTCAGAGATACAGCATTGTAAAAATGTATGAATTGTGTGAACATTTCATTAAATTTCATTAAAATTTTATTTTGAAAACATAACATTAAATCTCTCTTATGAGGATATATTTATTATCATGTTTTTACTGACATAATGAATCCATTGTCCCTCTCTTATATTAACTGATCATAAGGGTGGAAAAAAAATCCAATACTTATATTCACACATACACACACATAGGCCTACATTCAAGCATGTGTAAAATGTCCAGCATTTTGGAAATCTTATGAATAAACTTACCATGAATAATGAATAAATTATACTGCCAAACAAGTGGGGATGAAAAGCATTATAAAATGTGGTCATTACTCTTGATGAAGCATAGGCCTTTAAATAAATATGTACACCACAGTTTGTAGCAAAATACTACAATTCTTGCTTACAGAAAATTTTTAATTGTCAACATCATGAATGAATGTTGTTGAAGTATACCTCCACAATATATTTTATTCTCTTGTTATGTAATTCCTTTTGATGCACGTGTTGAACTGAATACACAATGCATATCAGGCATCATTCTCTCCAAATATCTCTTTAGTTTTCTGCTGGATTTCAAAACAATGTTTTATGGATTTCAGGAATTATGGTCACATTGTATTGCATGCCCATACAAATGCTGCTGTGAATCATCTATCAATCTATCACTATTAAACACACACACACACACTTTAGTATCACCATGTTTCATGTAACATATTCATGATGTATTTGTAGAGGTTCTTGGACATAGTTAGACTACAAATGCTGATTCAGTATTGCATGAAATTTGTTCAAAAAGTGGAGCATAACGTGCTTGGGTTTTAAAAATATCTCAGCGTTGTCATTACCAAGGACCATAGCGCAAATGATGTCCCCCAAATAACTGCAATTTATCATAAGCTGAGTGATCTGAACTGTGATCTTATTTTTGGCTAGCTGAGAAACACCAGACAGAAGCATGATAGACCAGTTGTTGCAGAAACAACACCTTATTTGACATGTTTATTATTTATCAAATGGCTTTTAAATTCTCAAATACTTAATAATTACTGGTCATTAACGTGTTATTGAAAATTTTAGCAGAATGAAGAGTTAAGAATGCCAGCTCTCTCGCTCATGGTTTCATGTCTTTGTTCGGTGGTTGTGCTTTGGGTCGTGCTGCTAACACAAGAGGGCGTGTTTGTGTCTGTTATAGCGACGCTCTGCTGTCTTCAAACCTGCTGTCATATTCCGGCCACTTGTTTTGACTTGACCATCAATGTCAATGGGAGACATACAAATTCGTTAAAATGCATTTTACATTTTTTTTCTTCACCAATTTAAAATGCATCTATTGCGATTCAGTTTTTATTTTGAAGGGTTGGAATACAGTGCTAATCGCAATGATTTGGGTTGAAGTGACAGCGCAGAGTTTATTTCTCATTATCAGTAAAATTTGTAAAAGGGTCAGGAAATTCAGCAACTCTGTGCTATGTTCTGCCTGTTTGTTCAACCAATCCATCCCTTACATTGAGATTATATTACCACGTGCCTTGCGCAGTTTAAAACGGTCATTATCTGCAATTATGTGCTGTAATTGCGTTTTAGTTTGAATAGCGACAACCCTGAAATGTGCCATCGATTTCAATCGTGTTATGCACCCCTGTGTGCAACTGCCTAAATAGGGATGTGCGCCTTTCGCTGTAAAAATCTGTACACTGGCCGAGGGACATTCAGTTCACATGCCCATCGGTGCAAACAGAGATGATTTTACCACTTTTACTTCACATAGCCCAAAGCAAGATTTATCATAACGACTTGGTAGCCTATAAAATTTCCTACAACAATTTTCAGTTTGCTCGATTGTTTATATAATATTTCATTTGCTTAAATAGCCTATTATTGAAATAATAGGTAGCCTGTTATAACTGTGTTATTTTAAAACAGGTCTTAAAAAGGGCATCAAAATTGAGACCGATTCCTTTTAAATAAACATTAAAGCGTAGATATTAAATAAGCAATAATATAGTTTTTTCCTGTTTTTTTCTGTTTAATCATCATCGTTATTACTTTTAATTTTAACATATCTCGGATCAAGTCTATTTAATTCGAAGCTGCAGATATTAGAGGAAAAAAATGTTTGAATGAAATAAGAAAAGTAAATGCAGAGACTCGTCGGCCTGGTCTCCGAACAGCTGCTCTTTTTTCCAGAACCAATCAGCTTCTCATAAAGGTGACGTATGAGTGTCCTACGTCAGACCAATAGAGAGAGAGAGAAGAGCTGAAGCCGACGGAGTTTGAGAGAAGGAGAGAGAGCGAGAGAGAGAGAGAGAGAGAGAGAGAGAGAGAGAGAGAGAGAGAGAGAGGGACAAGAGTGGCCCATCAATACTGTGACCAAGCACAGGAGCTCAACACACACCCCTAACTCTAATCGCAAGCATCTCGATTCCGGGAAGTCCTGCAACACCTCGAACCCTCGGCCAGTTCCCACCTTCTCAGATCAAAACAAGGGCACTAAGGGCCTTCTGTCCGGGTTTAAAGTGGACCTAACACCGCCTTACTTTATTGACATGGGAGACATGGGGGATCCGCCAAAAAGTAAGTTATGCTTTAATGTCTATATGTGTGTCTAATGACACTTACTGCTAATATTGGCGATTTATGTGCCTGTATGCCGATCATTTTATATGAATTTAGTAGTTTGTTTCGCGTTCTGCAAAAGTTTTAAAGTTCTGAAGAGACCGGAGGGATCGTGACAAGCCGGTGTTATAGGGCTGACACCGCTTTTCCTCACTTTAAATCACTACAAATAGGACCCATTCCTGACCATTTAATTTTTGTTAGTTTATTATTCATTATTATTATTATGCTATTGCTATTATTATAGGCTATTAATAATAATAGGCTAATAATAATTAGGCTCTGTCGATTCTAATTATATTCAATTTGTCAGTTATACACCGTTATTATCAGCATCCAGTATTGTTTTTAAACATGTCAAACGGGTTTAAATATATGTTTAATCCTACACACGAGTTATTGTATAAAATTGGGAAATTAGGGCATTGCAAGACGTTTAGGTTGTGTAGTGTTATAGTTAAATTAATATATATATATTCACATAGTTTGAAACATCATATGCTTTCTCTTTCAATCAGAAAAGCGTCTAATCTCGTTGTGTGTCGGCTGTGGGAATCAAATCCATGACCAGTATATTCTGCGCGTGTCCCCGGACCTGGAGTGGCACGCGGCGTGTTTGAAATGTGCAGAATGTAACCAGTATCTGGACGAGTCCTGTACGTGTTTTGTGCGAGACGGAAAAACTTACTGTAAACGGGATTACATCAGGTAACGCAGAACAATTAGGTAATGTTTTAGTTTTCGAGTGTGGATGACTGAATGACAGTAACCTCTCATTATTCACTGGTGCATTACTGTCATTCATGGTTTTATTTTTTGTACTGGACAGCACCTATATGCTAATCTCCTGTCTTAAATGAGTCTGCAGCGCAATTACTCCACAATTATTGTGGAGCTTTGTTCATATGTAGCCTATGGCAATGTCCCATGTAGCGAAATTTCATCGCAATATTTATTTATTTATTTTTTGACAGTAATGATTATTATCATTATTTTAATAGGACACGTTTTTGTGAAAGACAAACACCACTGTGCAAAAATAATATCCATAATACGTTGAAATGTCGCTATTATCATTATTATATTTGTTATATAATAATAGCCTAATAATAATAATAATAATAAAGCTAACGCTATAATTTTGATAATTATAAAGTCGGTTCATTATTTGTAAATAAATTATATTATGGTTGTCTTTAAATATATTTTATTTTATCATAGCATTTGTTTTTTATTTAATTATGTGCATTTCATTTCGCCATATACTATTTAATATTTGTATAGGCTATTATATACTATATATATATATAATTTTTATTTAATATATTTTATATTGCTGTCATATCGACTAGCTGTTAAAACGTATTAGCTACGCTCTTAATTTTTTTTACTCAAACATTACACATTAGCCTATAATGTAGGCTACTTTTGGTGTTTCAGGTTATACGGGATCAAATGTGCTAAATGCAACATCGGTTTCAGCAAGAATGACTTCGTGATGAGAGCACGCTCGAAGGTTTATCACATTGAGTGTTTCAGATGTGTGGCGTGTAGTCGGCAGCTCATCCCAGGAGATGAGTTCGCTCTGCGGGAAGACGGGCTCTTCTGCAGGGCCGACCATGACGTGGTGGAGCGGGCAACAATGGGTGCTGGTGACCCATTAAGCCCATTACATCCGGCGAGACCTTTACAAATGGCAGGTAGGCATAGCATTCTACTACAACTTACAAAGCGCTGTTTGCTCAAGGACTCGGGGATTATTTGTCTTGGGGGATTCCAAAAGACACAAAGCTTTTTTCAATAAAAAAAATAGCTTTATGATGACATCATACATTACGAGATTGAGACTTATATGAATAAATGTGGTGTGATAAGGCGTGAATGATGTTATTAACACGCTAACCAGTTTGTGGTGCTTTGACAGCATAACTCGTTTTTTCCCCTATTTGTCTGTTATTGAATTCAGCTATTCATGCATGAAATAGATATTCTCTGCTGATTAGAGGCCAACCACGCGACAATGTCAGCTTGTACATGTACTTAAGAAAGAAATTAGATCCTTTCACAAATAAATACAAAGAAAATGTATTATAGAATGCAATATTATAGAATTCGAAATATGCGAAAATGTATTAGCTATGTGTGCGATTGCGGTACCATCATTTGACTGATTAATTTTTTTTAATGGATTTTAATTCAATTAAAATGTCATATTGAAGCACGTGTTGATACTCTACATTTAAATGCCCTTTAAGTAAAATGAGCTTCGAGTGTTTAACTTATAAATCACCCAAACTGCTATTCTGCATTTACATTAAGGCATCTTATTTTCCCATAAAATAATAAATTTAATAATATAAACCATTACAAAATCAGTTGTTATTGCAGGTTTATTAATAACCAGCTGCTTTTAAGTAATGTCATGGGCAGCACACCGCGCGCACCTTATTATTTAAAATTCAGAGGTATGCACAGATTGCTTTAATTAAGTGTCGTAAACCTATCTGGGTCATACTCGCCCTCCAAATTTACTGCATCTTGCAGGAACTTATAATTGCCAGAAAAGGGATTGCAACCATGGCTGCATTTCAAGTTTGTTAAAAGGATAGGCTACTCTCTTCGCCATAATACAGAATTAAGAATTTCATATTTGAAGCAGCAGATTTCCATGGAAAGAAATATCTAAAGATAATATTTTTACGCATATGGAGAGATTTCCTCTAATCTCGACCCCGGTTTCGTTAGCAGACCATCAAATATATTCATAGAGTATGGGAAAAATAACACTCCGTTCTCAAAAGTGATTATTTTTAAAGTATTGTTTTTATAATTGCTGTTATTATTATTTAATTGGCCTATTATTATTTTCCATAAGTAGGTTACCTCCACCTTAGACGGGCCTCGCCTCGGGTACCTCCGACTTATCCAATTAAATTATGTGACAGGATATATAGTCTTCACGCATTCCGAGCATTATATAAGATCTCTTTGCATTTAACAATTATGCTTTTCTGTTTCGTCTTTCTTGCAGCAGAGCCCATTTCGGCACGTCAGCCTGCGCTTCGACCTCATGTGCACAAGCAACCTGAGAAAACAACCCGCGTCCGGACAGTCCTCAACGAAAAACAGCTCCATACCTTGAGGACTTGTTACAATGCCAACCCTCGACCCGACGCCCTCATGAAAGAGCAGCTCGTTGAGATGACGGGTCTCAGCCCGAGAGTCATCAGGGTTTGGTTTCAAAACAAGCGCTGCAAGGACAAAAAGAGGAGCATACTGATGAAACAACTCCAGCTGCAGCAACCCAACGACAAAACGGTAAGACTATAGTGGCGCTTCAGTCGATAAACCAAAAAACATTCAACTCCGTAGTTCTTTTATTTATCAAGAAGAGCCAGTCGTAAGCTTTACGCGTTTGCAGTTTGATGGGCTACTGTAAATATCTTAAAGCATGTAGACGCGTTGCCGATATCTTAAAGCATATAGGCTTTCTAAAAATAAAGTTTGTATGTATATTCAGAACTTAAAAATATTATTTAATCTTAAAATAACCATGGCGATTTAAGTTATGGTCTCATTTAGAACATCCAACTTCTTGGATCGTAAGACTTGAGATGGGACGTTTCTGTAATGCGGCCTCTGAACTCTATTTTTGAGTGCAAATAAATTTTTCTGCATCTGCAGAACATCCAGGGGATGACAGGGACTCCAATGGTGGCGACCAGTCCAGAGAGACACGACGGTGGTTTGCAGGCAAACCAAGTGGAGGTGCAGAGTTACCAACCGCCTTGGAAAGTCCTGAGTGACTTCGCACTGCAGAGTGACATCGACCAGCCTGCTTTCCAGCAACTGGTGAGTGCGCACAACCGTGCGTAAACGACATAATAGCAGCAACCGCCGCATTAAAACCACCGCTAATACTATTATTAATAATTGTATAATTAATAATAACAATTATAAAAAGTAACAGCATACATTTTGCATGTTTTAGGTGAATTTTTCTGAAGGAGGGCCAGGCTCGAACTCCACGGGGAGCGAGGTCGCCTCAATGTCCTCGCAACTGCCTGATACACCAAACAGCATGGTAGCGAGTCCTATAGAGGCCTAGGCGAGTGGATTATCTCCTGCACCTGAAGTTTGGCAAAGGACGTGCCGGGAACCAATCTCAGAGAGAGGCTCGTGAAGTTTCTTCCATCCCTATTTCGTTTAGGGCCGCTCCTGAATAAAATCCAAAACTGCACGAGGCCTCTATATCGAAACAACCCTTGGTTGTATTTATACACTGTGATGACAATCATGGGATTTAAACACACTCCAACCGAGCGAGTCCAACGAGTGTTGCGAAAAGACCATTTAAAGTTGCAAAATCCTGCGAAAGTGGACCCAGCCGGCGCACATATTCACACACCGAACCTGACATGATGATTGCAGTGCTCCGCGGCCGAGTGGACCTGGTCGTTGACACTTTTGCCAAATACCCCTCCATGTTTTTTTTCAACTTTTATGACAAATCATTGGACCTCTATACGGATATAAGAGAACTTAATCTAATATACATTCATATAGCCTACTTTTGTGCGCAACGTGAGTAGCCTATAATGAAACCATGACTGTTTATTCTGTTTCTATAAAAGATCGAAATGGACTAGAAAACTGAAAGAGGGTATGGCAGCCGAGGTCTACTGCGATTACCGTTTTGTTATATCACAAATGGTCTCGTTTCAAACATCAAGCCCAAGTACTAAAGCATTGCAACAAGGTATACCTCTATTTTGCCACAAGCTGTGTGGGAATTTCATGTGTTCGTGTCCGTCCAAGAACTTTTTTCTTTCCCAAAGATGTGTATAGGTTTAAGTTAAGTTAATATGACTGATTAGCTCTGGAGGTTTCGTTTTGTTCATGTATTACAGAATATTTTATTATTTATTGTCGAAAGACATGCCACTGTTGTGTACTTTTAGGCTACTTGCTGAAGAAGTAAAAAGGAGGAAAAGAATATTGTCGACTCCGAATGATCGATCATAATTGACGTGTCCTGTCGTTTGATCAAGACTGCTGTAAGAACAACGCCATATGTAGACTTATCTTCAGGAATATTTGATCAATAAACATTTGACGTGTACTGTAAGTAAACGCTCGGACACGCGGGGCTTTCTTAAATGTTACCATTTTTGTAGCTTTTATGTTTCTCGCATGACAGTTTGAGTGTTAGTCATTGTAATATATCACGCGAAAATAAGGAGATTAGGTAAGAGACAACAAATCAGTTCTGGTTTGATCAAATAATGTGGTTAACGGCACTGCAGGCCAACGCACTCTTAAAGGGACAGTTCACCCAAAAATGACAACATTAACATATTTACTTTTTATATACTAAGAAAGTATTTATACTGCGTATTGAATCACTGTGTGATTGAGAAAGAAGAGAAAATCAAGAATTTTAAAATTAACCTCAGCTGACATCAGTGACTCATTTGCACACTGATCTGCAGTGAGCTTGCTAAAGTACAAACAGTTAAGTAACAGAATTAAACCTCAATCTCAAACACTGCAGACTTTCAGGAAATTATGTCTGGTGCTGGTACAATGACCTTGACTATTCCTCTTTACATGACCGATCACTATGGGCATTATTCTTCTCAGCTTTCATGCTTCCTTTGTGCAAACAGTTGGCATCAACCTCAGCTGACATCAGTGACTCATTTGCACACTGATCTGCAGTGAGCTTGCTAAAGTACAAACAGTTAAGTAACAGAATTAAACCTCAATCTCAAACACTGCAGACTTTCAGGAAATTATGTCTGGTGCTGGTACAATGACCTTGACTATTCCTCTTTACATGACCGATCACTATGGGCATTATTCTTCTCAGCTTTCATGCTTCCTTTGTGCAAACAGTTGGTGCAAAATGAGATAATTTAGATACTCATCATGAATATGGTAGACCTATTCAATACTATAAATTATCTTATTTAGAATGAGAAATATTTGATTATTTTATACTCTACCTACCATGGGGTAAAGTATAGCTATTTTTGCTTTTTCTATTTGTATTCCAATTAAAAGTAAATTAAGGCAAACTGAATTAAGACCAAAACGTACAAGACTATGACAACCTGTCAACATCACATTAGGAATTACTGAAGACATAGCAATATACCAGCCACGAGATGGTAGTACATATAAGACACAATTGAACTGCAAATATTTACTCTTTTGTTAATGTCTAAAGTTCTTAATATTACAGTACTTTACAAAAGTTGTTTGTCATGTCAAGCAAGCAAACTGTTTTTATTGTACTAGTGGTTCCACTCACTAAAATTGATGTATAGATTTAATTCAGGCTTCAAACATATCAACAAATAATTTTGTCTGCTTCTCAATATAAAACAAGAACGATTACCATTTGTACATTATGCAAGTAGCCTTTTAATTGACTTCTTAACTGGTTTTCAAAAAAGTAAAAAAAAATAAAAATGGACACTTCTCTTTCACACACACACACACACACACACACACACACACTTGGTTTTTGTGAATTGTGGGGACATTCCATAGGCATAATGGTTTTTATACTGTACAAACTGTATGTGCTATTGCCCTACACCAACCCTACACCTAAACCTACCCCTTACAGGAAACTTTGTGCATTTTTACTTTCTCAAAAAAACTCACTCTGTATGATTTATAAGCGTTTAAAAAAAATAGGGACATGGGGCAATGTCCTCATAAATCACCTTTTCGTTGTAATACCTATGTCATACCCATGTCATTATACAAATTTGTGTCCTCATATGTCAAAAAAACATGCGCGCACACACACACACACACACACACACACCTTTTTCTGTGAATAGTGGGGAATTTCCATAGACTTCTATTACTTTTATACTGACCAAACTATATTTTCTATCACCTAACCCAACTCTAACCCTAACCCTACCCCTTACAGAAAACCTGTTTGCACTGTTACACTTTCAGATAAACATCATTTACTATTTTAATTATTTTTTACCCTCATGGGGACCGCAGGCCGGTCAAAAATTTCAGGTTTTACTATCCTTGTGGGTACAATTTGGTCCCCACAATGTAGCATAAACAAGTACACACACACACACACACACACATATGCACATTTCTAATGTATTATTTTGATAATGATAATAAATTATTTTATGTTAATGTTAGTTGTTGGCAATAAATGTAGTCTTTCTTTTACAGCACAACACCCATAGTATGATGACAGTCAGGTCTATTCAGCTGGAACTATGGCTCACTGCACATTTGGAATCATTGGGTCACATGTTGGTGAGTCAGAAGTGCTGTGAATTTGACCATGACTGAATAACAACACTTGTAAGCAAATATGAAATAGTAATATTTGGCAAAAACAAAACAAAAAAGAACCAAAACTTGTAAAGTGTCACTGTAAGGTCATTTGTTGAGCAATGCATTTAGTGGCATCAAACTTCTATGAAGTAAGGATCCCGTTTAAAATGTCAGCTCTTTTCTCTAGTCCTCTACTGCTAGAAGAAGACCGTTGGGTTGCACAAAGACTCCTGATAGAATAGTTCCCAAAGCTGGTCGAGCCTCCCGGATTGCATTCAGCTTTGCTGACTTACTAGAACAAAAGCAGCACTGTACCTGGAGGAGGCTCCATGGAACAATCACAGTCTCCTGGATGAGACCCGATTGCATTGTGAACCGGGCAAGCAATCCCTCCCCAAGGTCCAAAGCCTGACCACAGAGTCACAACACCAGGGAGGTTGGTGAGCTCAACCCACAATTGTTCAGCGGTGGCAAGCAATGGCAGATGGTTGATGGAACTTTACTGTGTATCTGTAATTTTGTGAGAACATTACTGTATATTTAGAAGAATGAGACATGTAAAATTAAAGAGAACAAAAAATGAAAATTCATTCACTCTCCCTTATGTTGTTCCCAACCTGTATGACTTTTTCTTTTCCGTTACACAAAGGAAGATATTTTGAAGAACACTGAGGGACAAACAACACTTGACCTTAAAAAAAAAATCTTCTTTTGTGTTTCACAGAGTCAAGTAAATTATGACAGAATTCAGAATTTTCATTTTTGAGTAAACCATCCTTTTAACTGCTTTACTAATTTCATGTGTCAAATCCTGCATGAGGTCAGTCTTTTTTTACCTCTTGCTCAAGTGTTAATCAAGTAGGCTGTGCTACTTGCCAACAGTACTGTGAACATTTACAATTCCATACAAGAATAGTTTTAGAGATGATAACATTTATGAATTCCTAACCTGACACAACAGATTGGAAAATTATCTATGAATGAACCGTTGATCAGTTTTTTGAAGAGCTGCACCATCGACTTGAGTTTGTGTTTAAATTGATAGTCCACCCCAAAATACAAATTCTGTCATTGTTTACCCACCCTCAACCTGTACAAACACATAAGAAGATATTTTGAAGAATGTTGATAACCAAACAGTTTTGGTTACCATTGACTTCCATTGCATTGAAGAAAAAAAACAAAGAGACATAACAATGAGACTTAAAATACCTCTATGTTTCACTGAAGAAAGTCAGTCAATACAGTTTTGGAACAACATAAGGGTGAATGAAAATGAAAATGAAAGAGTTTGCATTTTTGGGTGAACTATCCCTTTAAGAGTTTGAATGGACAGAATGTCTGAGGAAAGCTGGCATTGTCAACATCGGCTCTTCTGGAGACTTCCAGAGTCTGTCAGTAGATTTACAGAGAGAGGTGCTGGTCAAGCCTGATCCTCTTTGGAATGTGTCGATGAAGAGGACACTCCAAGTGTTAGCTGTCAGCACAACACGTGTGAAAAAAGAACACTAAGAGCTATGGCGTCCTGTGAGTCGAGCCTTACGGATCCACGGGGGAATCACGCTCGGGGCTGGAAAGAGCACACTCCAACTTCTCAGCCCCAGAAAAGCCTGGGTCTCTTCACAACAGCCCCCTGGGCCGACTTTTCATTCTTGCAGGGGCCAATGCCGTCAAAACGGTCTCATTGGGAGTATGATGGCATAAACTGATACACACATACAGAGAAGGGGACTTGTGGGTGACAAGCTTGGTTTGCGTTTTGTGAGAACAGCAAAAGCTTTCAGGCCAAGTGTGGTGCAGTGTTCATGCAGGGTATTTGGTAACCAAAACAAAATTCTTCTGATTAACAGAGTTTACATTTTTGAGCATTCCATAAAGCAAGTCAGTTGGCAATATGAACTAAACTAAACCTCACAAATGAATAATTTATGAAAACCTTAACCCTAAGTCTACTGTATCATATTTGATAAGTGAAATTTTAAGGCATCTAAATTGTCTATGTGTCAATGTGTTTTTCCTTCTCCATATTCTCCTATAACATAATATATGAGCCACAAACCCTGATGCATCAAATACGATATTCACATACACAACTTCAAACGACTAATCAAATGACTAAACTGAATTTTTGACTATTAGGCTTTACTGGGTGTACAGGGTTAAACGACTTCTAATAGAGAATAAAGCAAAGATACATCAGTACAAGACTTTCATAATTAATCCAACTCAATCAATTTGTAACCATCACAGGTTTTTGTTTGTAATGTAAACAGATAACATTAATTTCAGGTCTGAAATTTTAGTTTGTACTCAAATATAAATTACAATTCCCCCACTCCTATTTTCAGCTCTACATCTGCTCATGGTATATCAAACGTTATATAGGGATATGACACACACTAGGAAGTAGGCTTTTTACAGTAGTACTGAAGGCAGAGGCAAGAGTGATGACAGGAGAACGAGGTTCCCTGATTTTTACTAAGACTATTTAAAATAATAAAAGACTTAGAGGAAGTATCATAGGTCAAAGAGCACATGATCAATCTACAAAAACAAAGAACTACAAGCCCCACAGCTACAGTTTATAAGGACACCTTGAGAAATTTTTGAGTAAACCATCCTTTTAACTGCTTTACTAATTTCATGTGTCAAATCCTGCATGAGGTCAGTCTTTTTTTGCCTCTTGCTCAAGTGTTAATCAAGTAGGCTGTGCTACTTGCCAACAGTACTGTGAACATTTACAATTCCATACAAGAATAGTTTTAGAGATGATAACATTTATGAATTCCTAACCTGACACAACAGATTGGAAAATTATCTATGAATGAACCATTGATCAGTTTTTTGAAGAGCTGCACCATCGACTTGAGTTTGTGTTTAAATTGATAGTCCACCCCAAAATACAAATTCTGTCATTGTTTACCCACCCTCAACCTGTACAAACACATAAGAAGATATTTTGAAGAATGTTGATAACCAAACAGTTTTGGTT